ACTGTACTTAGCATATCAAACGTGATCCCCCGTCATCTTGGTTGATCAGTTACCTAATCAAAGCTATACTAACTGGTATAGATAATTGGTTAATTGATAAAATAAAAAAAAAAACTATCTGAAAATACTGTAAATTTCAGTTAATACAACTAATCATTTATCTTGGGAAAACCGCTTGGACGCCTAAATCGGTTCCCCTACTGCCATTCATATCGTCTAATGTGACCACAAACCTTCCGCGTTGCAAAAATACCTGGTAATTGGTTTCAAATGCTCACATGAGACCATGAGATTGATCTCAAATGCTCACATAAGACGAAAAAACAGTTGAAGAATTACATCTTCACTTTTAATGTCGGAAATATATATTGTACGGTTGACAATCTTTTCACATTTTCCGATAAAATTGTTTGCTTCGATCAGTTATAACTCCAGACCACAGCTTATTCTAAAAATATGTTAGTTTTTGTCAGCAAAATAAATAGGGCATACCGGAGGATCACAAGTTTTATTGTTGAAATTTTGAGATATCGGCAGTGGTATTGGTTCTAGCATAATTAATAGAGAGAACCATTGGTCTTTTTCCAATACACTTTGAAGCAAAATTACAGCGTAACTGACGATTTTTGATAACAGGTATTTAAAGTAAAAAGTGGACAGGATTATAAAGTTCGTTTTCAGTACCAGTTGCCAAAAAAATGGTAGGTGAATAGGAACAAAAAGTCCTGAACTATTGAAGAAAACTGAATCTGGAGCAATGGTGTCAGTCGACAATAAGAAAGTTTTTTTGAATTAAAATTTGATCTCAGGAAATAAGTACTTGCTTTATGGTAATTGCTTTTGAATGTTATTTTCGCAGAAAAGCATTTATGAATCAAATCGTTTTGACATTCTAAGAGCAGCAATTCTTAGGAACCCCTGATCCAGAGCGTGTTTCATCTATTATGCTATTATTGCTAGTTTTTAAAGCAGCCTTCTTGGTAAGTGACATTTTGAAGATTTTTCCTTTTTAAGATACACTTTGCCGACCTTTTCTTTCTTGATTACTGCTTTACTGAAACTATCCTGCACATCTGCTTTACGTAACCATGACATTGGTTATTGTTACCATAAAAAAAAACATTTATGAATCCAATCGTTGTTAAGATACCTTGATCAAATGCTCTAATCACCTTAATAGCTTAGCTTGTTAGGAACCCCTGATCCAGAGCGTAGTTCATCTTTTGGCAAAATAACGGCCTATTCGACGTGAAATTTTCAGCTTTCTTTTAAGAATCCTTCTTGATAAGTGACATATTAAAGATTTTTGCTTTCTAAGATTCATTTCTATCTTGATCCATAGCTTAGATCACCTTAATGTCCGCTTTTGACAATATATCTTCATATTAAATGTAGAAATTTCCGCGCAAAAATGATTTCTTTTAGTAAAACTTCGTAGTATTTGCCATTTATTAATGATATATCTCTTTAACTAGGCTTGTCTCGCTCGACTACTTCTGACTCTGTGTACTTATTTCATGCTTTGCTGCAAATATATCACTTGCTGCGCCTAAATGCATACCACAAAATCAGCAAAAATCACCGTAGGACACGTAAAAAAATGAGAAAAAAATGAGTAATCTCAGCAAATTCGTAAATTCTGAAAGTGTTTTGTATGTAAATATGTATGACCTTCCTGCATGTAACAGTTACTCGTTAAGAGTAGCGAGTAGACAGCGTGTAGACTAATGTTGCAAGTTGCATTATTGTTTAAATTTCGTTTCTTTACGCTTTGTTTTTTTTTTTTTATATAAAAAATGAAACCAAATAAATTCAAGTGTTGACGTTTAATAATATTTCATTTCTGACGTTAGTGGTCTTTTCAATTTACTAATTTTTATTCGTTTTGTCTTAAATTTTTATTTTATTTTTTTTTGTTTATTTTTGCTATAATTTTACTGCTTTCAGTTCACACACAACTTTGCAGCATTTAAGGTCTATTGTTTGTTCTTGTTGTTTTTATTGCTGATTTCGAAATTCAATTTCTTTCAAGTTACAGTTTTGGGTGTGCCTATATTTGTATTTACTCGTGTATGTGTGTGTGTATTTTTGATTTTTTTGTTTCTTTTAAACTTGGGTTTAGGATGTGGAATCTCAATTCTTCTTAGTTTTCGTTAGCTTTACTTTACTTCAACAGTTAAACGTCAATGGTTTTGGGTTTGTAATTATACTGTTCAGTATTTTTTTAATTTTTCAGTTAAATTTTTTTAATTTTTCAGTTAAATTTTTTAATTTTAATTTTAATTTCTTTAATTTCTGTTTTATTTCTTTCATTTTTGCTACTCACTGTCTTTGTATGTTTGTTTGTTGTCGGCGTTTCAGGCTCGTTAGCGTTTCATTTGAAAACTTTTACCAAATTTTTCTAACTTCAGCTGTGTGTGTGTGTGTGTGTGTATATCTTGCAACCTTTTTCCGTTAATTTAACATTTTCCTAATTTCTTCTGACGTTATGAATGCTCTAACGGTATTCTTTTGTTAATTCATTTAATTTTTCGTGCTGCGACAACTTTTTACCGTTATTTATTGTTACTCACAGTGAGTTTACAGCTTTATAGCGTGTTTGTGTGTGTATGTGAGTTTGTTAATTAAATTCAATTAAATGAAACGTATGCTCATATAAACATTTAATAAAAATATGTTGAACTTTTTGCTATAATTTTAAATGTTTTTTGTTTTGTTTAAAACTTAATGTCGAAAACATTTTTTAAGCGTGATTTTCTGTCGCGTGCTCTACTTTCATCATTATTTTCTCCCTTTTTTGTTGTAGTAAATTTATTAATTTATTTTTTTAATAGTGTCTATGCATTGTAATTTAATTAAATTTGTTAGTTATATATTAATTAATTAATTTGATTTAATTAAAAACGTTTTCCTTTTCGAAATTTCACTAATCTTTTGTTTTTGTTTTTTATGCTTCTTCTTCTTTGTTTTTTTTTTGCTGTATTTATGTACATATGTATGTATATCGAATTGTTACTATTTAAAAGACCCTAATTAATATATATGTGTGCATCATGAAGAATCGCATATCTCACTGCTATACTTTTCTATAATTTTAGTTTTTTTGTTTAGTTTTCGTGTCTTAACTCTTTTGTTTTAAGTTTTCTTACGCATAAATTTTATATTTTTTTAACTTAAGTGATTTACTTATGTAATTATGATTTCAGTTTTTTTAGCTTGCCTTAAATTACTAAAATTTCACAACATGTGAATTTGCATATATTTTCTAAATAAATTTTTTTTTAATTTTCAATCATGATTTTTGGTCTTTCCCTTTTGTCTATGTTTTTTGTGTCTATTTTTTTGGTTTATGTTTTTTTGCATATTCTCCTTTAGAGCGTTATGCTTTCTGCTGTCTTGTTCATTTGTTGTCGTTGTAATTTGCTGTTTGTTTGCATTATTTGTATGTTTTGTGTTATGTCATTTTTAAGTTAACACTGTCATTTCGCGCTTTAAGGCCAACATTTTGTGTTTTCGAGTGACATTTTGTCACTACAAACAATTTAATGCAAAGTGTTCTTTATAACAAGACGAATATGTGGACAACTTCGTTTTGGTTCGTGAACTTTTGAAGTCACTGTATTATACGTGTTGATATTGCTATTCATTTACAATAATGTTCAATAACATTTTTTTTAAACTTTGTTAGACATTTTCGAAGGGCGCGTTCATTAAAAACATTTAAAAAAATTATTTAATTAATTTGAAATTTTGAATTTTTTTGATTTGAATAAAATAAAACGTTTAGAAACTTAAAAATATTATTTTTTTGCATTAAACATGGCTCACATACTATATAAAATTCCTTCATGCTAGGCTTCATATTTGTTTCGAATTAGTTGTTCATTTTCGAAAATTTTAAAATTGAAAAAAATTAGCTAATTTCAAAATTTCAGTTAAAAATTTTCACAAAGAAAATCTGGTTATATTTCTCTTGTCTCTGATCTGGCTTTATTTTGGTATAAGGGCTCGGCTTTAGAAGAATCCAGATCAGTATAAAAATAGTTGAATTTCCAACTCTCGAAAACTTAAACCCATTGTATAATAAATAGTAATACCACATGCTAGAAAACCAAATAAACGGCAATTGATATGTATTCAAAGAATTCCGTTTATAAGATGAAAGAAATGAATGGGTTTATACTTTTTGCTGCAACTTCTTTAAGATTATCTCTCTTTATAAAAAACCGTTCTTAATTTTTTGAATTTTTTCAGTTTTTCGGAAGAAAGTCGCTTTTGTTAAAGGTTTAAATTTTAAATACACAAAGTGTAATGTGTTTTTTA